TGCAATATCTTCTAATCGGTCATGGATCGAATCGGGCCGATGGTCAGTTTGTACGCGCATGCACAATGGCCCTCGTCCCTTTCTCTCGCCCCTTTTATTTTTTTACAACATTTTACTATTATCATCATCGTCGTCGTCGTCGTCGTCGTCGTCGTCGTTTCTCCCAAAGATATATTCCCAGGCTTCCGGGGTCCCATCCACGTATACCTAGTTATATGGACAATGGCCAGATTTCACGTGTATACTCGGCTAAGCAGGAAACAGTATATAGTTTAAGTATACGAGGATAGGTTCAGCGAACGGAAAAAATGAAAGAAGGTCAAGGGGTTTTGACAGCTGGCCCATGCGTCATCGATTGGATTTCACTTGTGGAAGCGTTATATATACATACCTCCATCCCCGAACCGAGTATTATAATCCCTATGCACGTTTTTGAATGCATATACAAGTATTATTTCGTGTAACGTTATTTCCTCCGTCCGTTTTTCCCGTGACGCGTAAAATGAGATTTATGTGTAGGGAATCGTGAACGAGGCAAGCCTTGCACGTTTTCCTGGCGCAATTACGTTCAATTGGACCGCGGTTGCGACGGCTCCTTCGTGCCCCACCCTCGTGGCTAAAAGCGGAACCGACAAAAAACCATCTCTCGACTCTCTGCTTCGCGTATTTATGTATATACTTGACAATGAAAAAAAAAAGAGAAAAAACGAGGGAAAGCCCCTCGTTCGGGGTAATACGGAAAAATGGCCCCTTTCACGGAAACTGGATTTACATATATATATATATAATATTTTTAAGTTGTCTCTCTCACTGTGTGTTTTTTTTATTTGCGGCTGCACACGCGCCGACGTTTTCCCGATTTCTGTTCATTTTTCTCCGCCGCGCCGTCGACACGAGATGCAGAACAAATGGGACATCACTCCGTGCCCCGGTGGTGGGTAAAAAACCGAGTGGTAGGCGCGGTTAAAAATATTAGTAGCCGCGTGTCGCGTGAATCCTCCCCTCCCCCCCCCCC